ATAAAATTGATTTTTTTTCCTTTTTTTTTATTATTTTTGACTCGCTGACGTCAGTGTCTTCGGGCTGAAGCCCAAGCAAGATCTACCCTTGGGCTTGCCCGAGCTGGTGGGACTCAGGGCTTGCCCGAGCTGCAGATGCTGCGCTGGAGGTCCAAAACTGAGGGAATGGGCCTCTTGCCCTGGCTAAAGTCCCTACGGTGGAGATGCTCTTAGCCAAAACGTTTTTGGGAAATTCTAACTTTTTAGTAGCACACTAAAGACTTTAGTTTCTTTCTTTATTTTTTTAAAGATAAAATAACCATGCAGTCTAATACGTGAACATGCTATAATCTTAAAAAGAGTGCTGCTAAACGAACCTTAAAATTAATTGAGTACACCCTATGATCTAAGTACACCATAATATTTTAATTAAAATGTTAAATTAACTAAGTACACCCTATAGAACTACCAAAAATATCCCTAATAGACCCTAAACCCTCAACATTGATAACAGCCAAGTCAAAAGCACCCTTCTAAAAGTTGTCCAGTAAAAGTTGTCCAAGGCTAGCTTCATCTGCTCCAAGCGATTCTGACTCGCGGATCACAAAAATGGGCACCAAGTAATCTCTTGATTATGGTTGAATATTGTTAGTAGGGTGTATTTATTACAATTATATTTGTTTCACAATTCCATATATCCTTTTTGGTCATTTTATATTAGGGTAAATTAGTAATTCAATATATACTTTTGTAGTAGAGTGTACTCAGTTAATTTTAGGGTTCGTTTAGCAGCACTCTTTAAAAATTAGGTGTTGGGTGTTCTGATTAACTTGTTGGCTCAAAGTCCTTGCCATATCATATGCATTATTGGTTTTTCTGTGATGCATTGTAGTCTTATGGCATGTATTCATTAGAGAAGATTACTTTAGGTTCAACGAAAGCAACAACCCTGCAGGCTGCATATGCTATAGACTATAGTCCTTGCCTTAAAAGAAGCAGCACAAACAACAACACCTTACATAGCTAAGTAATGTTTTAATGTTACCACCACCAATAATGGAGCATCTTAAGGGTAAAAGGATTTTGTAATTAGAAAAATTCCTACGATTGTCTTTCGGTCATGCTACTGAGAACTTCACTTCATTTCTCCATTATTATTTTAATTCTTTGATGGGAACGTGAATTTTTTTTTATTATGATTAAAGGATCACTGATGGAATGTTGATAGATAAAGCCTTGAACACTGATTTGTGCCCATAACTCGTTGTTGTTTCAAAGAAAACACTTAGATGAGTCAAAAATAACGTGGCAATTTGAGATAATACTAAAACGTAACTTTAGCTTTGTGATTAGCATTGTTATTCCTATTATTATTCAATAAGTTTTGAGGTTTCTCTCATTATTACATTACGTTACAAAAATAAATAAATAAATAAACAAAGATGTAGATTGTTGATGATGTTAACTAAAATCGAAACTTTTAAACATTGTTGAAGAAGAAAAAAAAAATTGTACAATTTCCATGGAAACACAACAAGCACTAATTGCATCACTGCATGTCCACAATATAATGGTCACATCAAGCTTTTCAATCAGAAATTATTTTGGAAAAGCACAAAAACACACTACTACATGAACTTTTTGGATGGTGATGAAAAAACTGTTCACTTTAATAAAAAGTTTTTGCATTCTTGCTTTATCAATTTCCTTGGTGTTCAATGTGTTTAATTCCTTAGCCAAATCAAAAAATAAAATAAAATAAATAACAATGTAGCCACAGCATGTGAAAGCTTTGGGATAGAAACAATCTTAAACTCTTGTAAATCTTGGTATGCACATAGAAATCAAAGCAAAATTTGTGTCTCTTCCAGCTTTCAGAGTTGCCAAGTCTGTTATATAAAAATGGTAACCCTAAAGAAGAAGACAGAAAAAGAAGGGTAACTCAAAACTCAAAGAGGCAGAGAGCATTTAAGCAAAGTCTGGTTTGGCTTTTGCATGCTGACATATTATTGGATGGTCAGGCCTTGCTAGCTAAAAAGCACATCTTGGTGAAAATTTCTCAAAAAGGCAAAAGCATGCTGGCATATATTAGGTGCTCTAGCTAGCTTAGCACATTTTGGTGAAAACTTTCTGCTTTCTGCTTAAAAAAAAAGCATCTCTTCATCGGTTTTGTGGGCTTGAATCTACAAATCCTGAAGGTAGCCTTCATATTCATATGGCTACAGGCTACAGCTGTATTCTGACTCCCCAAAAAGCTGTTTGGATAATACACAAACATTTAAATCTCTCTATCTATATAGGAAAATCTGAAATACTCCCCATCCCAGTTTAAATCTCTCCTTCCAAGCTTTTCAGCTTTAATGTCAAGTGCTTGTGGTTGGCAGAGCCTTCATAAACTTGACAACTTCCTGCCCCTGAACTCAATTTAATTAGCTGAGATGGCACAACTCAGCATAAAAACGAAGTGAAGCCATAGCTGCCTCCTACATTGGCTTTATCTTGAAGCAGACACATCTTAAAGTTTTCAAATGCTACCTACAATGGCTGCTTTTCTTCACCAGAAAGTTGATCATCAAGGTCCAAAGTTTCGTGCTACAACTCCCCATTTTTTTAACATGATCGCAGACGAGACTTCTGGAAACAAAACACTTGTAAGCAAGCCCAACTCTCTCTTCAACTAAATACGTACATGCTCTGCACTACAGAATACTTGTATGCTGTCGATGTTCCTGGTTGCTGACTAGTCACTACTTAGATCTGGTGTTTTACTCTTATCCAATCTTAGAAAAAGTATTATGAGAAAAATAGTTTTTTTTTCTTCTCTTTCTTCTCTCCTACTCTCCTCACCTTCCCCTATACATACACTGCCCATCATAGTAATTTTATGGGCCACCAAGAAATTACAACTCTTATTTTTGCTTAGTTTGACAGATAGTAAGTGTTCATGTTTCTTCTGTCCAAAATCAGAACTCATTTTTGCTCATTGTTTGAATAATATATATATATATATTCTTTTTCCATTTTAAATTGGTGCCTCATTAAGTTTTTGAAAAAGGGTCTGGGAGTGCAATTAGACTTGAAACAAGACTCCCAATGTAGAGAGTGCAAATAGACTAATTTAGATGACATGCCAAATTCTAGTTTTGCCTAATTTTGAAATCTTGGTACTGACTTTTTTCTAAGGTCTAGGGTGCAAATCTAAATTGTGCACCTCTATCACAACAAAAAAAATTCACTATTATATTCAAATAGGAACTCGAAAAAGCTCTGGAAATCGAACCGAATTGTGGTCTTTGTAACGAAATATTGTTATCTATATTTGTTAATTGCATCTTACATATCCAAGCTCACATTGGCAGAGAAATACAGCGTATGCTGCATTTACTATCCTGCAATTTAGTTCTTTTCAATTGGTGTTATATAAGAATGGTCACCCAAAAAAAAGAAGACAAGCATTGTAACTCAGAACTGAAAGAGGCAAAGCGCATGAAATAGCTACTTGACAAGCTTTTGTTTTGTGTAGAGGTTGCCAAAGACATTTCTGGACAAATGTGCTGAGCATCTATCAGATCAAATACACCTTAAACTCCCATGTGGTTCAGAATGGAAAATCAAACTCAGAAGATGTAATGGTGAGGTTTGGTTTGGAAAGGGTTGGCCAGAGTTCTCTGAGTTTTACTCTCTCAAAAAAGGCAACTCCTTACTTTTCCGGTATGAAGGGAACTCAAAATTCAACGTTTTGATATTTGATGAAAGCGGCACGGAGATGGATTATCCCATAACTATAACTCTGATTGAAGAAACTGATGAAGAAGATGATGTCAAGTCTGTTGAAAGTTTGGAGTATTTTCCAACCTTCCCAAAAACAAAGCACAAAACTGGTCCTTTGCTATCTCCTCTGCCTCAAGAGAAAAGCAGAACAAATCCTCATTCTTCATCAAGGCCATCATCTTCATCTTCATCTAAAAGGGTTAATGTTGAAGCTGCCAATGAGTTCGTCTCAAGCCACCCATTCTTCAAAGTCACTTTGGGGACACACCTTGGGATGGTAAGGGGCATTGACAACAAATAATTATACAACTTCGTTTGGTTATTCAATACTAATATTATCTATGTTATGCAGAATATTCCAGCTAGTTTTCGGAAGCATTTCACTACAATGGAGAACCAAATCGTGAGGCTTTGGGTCGGAGATAGATCGTGGCCTGTGAAACTGATTTTTCAACGTAACAACGATCAATTAAGTGCTGGCTGGAGAGCATTTTTAAAGGAAAATTCGTTGAAAAAAGGAGATGTTTGCATCTTTGAGCTTATCGACACGAACAACGTTGCACTGGTAGTAAGCATTTTTAGATGCTGATTATTACTGGGGGGTGCTTAGGGTTGATTTAAAGTGGCACATACTGTTGTTGAGAGGGATACCATTTTATTCTTTTGCTTTCTTTTTTGTTTTTAATTTCATCCGTAAAAGATGATTTTCCAGTTTAGCTTTTCGAATTATTTAAACCCCTTTTTAATTTCCTTTAAAAGTATTTTGAGTATAACATGTACCGTTAGCGACAAATTATCATAAAATAGTCTTCGTTGAAATTTTATTAATCTAGTAATTTTCTCCTCTTCTAAAAGCATGAAAGTTTCTACTACACTACCGGAAAAACATGATGATTGAACCCAAAAAATAGATGATCAAACATTCATCAATTAAATAAAGAGAAAAACTACAAAGTTCATTTGAACAAACCTTGCCTCAATATGGTAGTGTGGCACGTGTAGTTTGCTTTCATTCTTTTTGTCTGTCATTTCCTTTTTCTCTCTTTGTTTCCCTCATGCATCTCTTCATTTGGCTCCCCCTATATGTTCTTTATTCAGTGCCTAGCCAAAACCAGCCTCAAGAAGTTAAAGCTTAAACCAAGAAATTTACTCACTTGTTCAAATAAAATGAAATACAAGAATTTCAAACATATGACATTAGCACTAGAATCACTACAGTTATTCGAGTAGCATATACTATCGAAGAAACTATAACTGATTTAATTGTTAGAATTCTATGGTCGTATCTGTATTTTTAGATTTAAGAAAGATGTATATTCTGGAGATTTTGCTAGAGAGGAAGAAGAAGAAGAATGAGAAGGCACTGTTCTATTGCATTTTTACAAACAGTCGGCTTACATAGTGTGACTGAGAGAGAGAGAGAGAGAAATGTGATTCTTCTCTAACAGAATTACAGCTACTCATATCAAACTCACAAGTGCTCTTTTGTCTTTGTACATTATATTTTTCTGGACTATAATCCAAAAGTTCTCATTACATCATATAAACTAGACATAAAGGAAAATGAGAAATAAGCCTTGGTGACTTCGGCTCTAAGAAATCAGGTAGAAAAAGGATTATATTTCAACATTAATAAATGAATAACTTAATCTTTGAGACAAACATATGACATCGACACTATGCGAGAAAAATAACCTTGAGAGTTGAGTGACTGCAACAGGCACAATAGTCGTACATATCAAGTGACAAACACTTTGAAATGGACACTGTGGTAGCCTCTCCCTCCCTTAAACTTTTTTGAAACAAAAAAATAATGGACATTGGGAGGCACCTATCCCTGTCGAGAAGTTCGCGTTGAGACTACATTGATGATGTTGCTCGGTAGATTCTTCCATTTCTAAAGTTTGTTTTTAAGCAAGCCTATGTTCACTTATGCTTTTTTAGTAAACACTGTTTGTTTCGATTTTTTTTTTTTTTTTTTGGACTCAATTTGCGAATATCTTTCCAGTTGTAGTGACACTTCACCATTAAGGTTTGATCGTAAACTTGACCCCGCTGTACGGACAAGTCTTGCTTCTTCACAAAGTCTTCTCCAAATCTTTCAAATTCCAATTTCAAAGCTGAGGACGACGACAAGGAAACCATACAAAGAAGCTCAAGCTCAAGATGGATTTTGTGGGTCTCGTTCAATTTTCCCTTCAATGCTTTGATGTTCTTGCATGGTATGCTTCTCTCTAAGAGAGAGAAAATCTTGGCACAATTGAGTTGAGGAAATGTTTCTCAGAATACAATATAATTTTTCATCATTTCATGTTGTTTGTGATTTTTTGTTTTTGTTTTGCAGGCCTCTACTTTCTCTGGTGTATCCTATGTAAGCCTCTCGTCCCCCACACATTTTTATTTTGTTTTGAAGAAACTCTGTTTTCATCCTTGTAGAGTCCACTTTAGCATCTTTTACTTTGCTCTTATGCATAATTTTTTCCTTTACCAAACGAGAGTAATTTTTCGATATTACAATTTATGATGATGATGATTTTTTATAATTATTTTATTTTATTTTATTGATGTTGATACGATCGTGATGGTTTCCTTGATGTTTAAATTTTTTTTTTTTTTTTTGACAGATGTTACTCCATTAGGGCGATTGAGGCCAATTCGGTTTCAGATTTTCAGAAGTTGAATACTTATTGGGTTGTCTTCTCATTGATTCTGCTATTTGAACATGCATTTATGAAGCTCCTAAAATGGTAATTCTGTTGTTTATTTTATTGCATTTGCTTTTTCTGGTTTCCAAATAAATGAATACAAAAGAATACAAAAGTTGAAACCTTGCATATTTTAGGCAACAGAAGCTTTAACAGAACTTTCAGCCAAGTTATTAGGAAAGCCTTTCTGGAATGAGTTTGAAACGGAGATGTCGAAATAAAATTGAACAAGGAATCTCAAAGATTTCCTAGCCTTCACTACAATCACAAGGAGAGCAGAAATTTTCACAATGTGGCTGTTGTTCTCAATAGCTATGGAATTTTCAGAAGTGAATTTGTGTGGCATATCTATTCATTATGAAATGGATGTAATTTATTCGTTCAGCTTCAGACTTCTTGTTCCAGAAAAAGCCACATACCACATCTATGTACATAGTTCCACGGAATTTTTACACAGAAACTTTTAGTTTTTTTTCTTTTTAAATGAAAATGAAATCTATCGAGTTCCCGAGTTAGATATCACTTAGGTCCTTTCGGGCATAGTGCTGACATTTGTTTCAACTTTTCATTGTTTAATGATCATGAGGAGCTATAAAATTTGTTTCATCTAGTTATGTTCCCTGTTTTTCCATTTCTGTACCTGTCAGGCTCCCACTGTGGCCATACTTTAGGCTAATCATTGTCTTCTGGTTGGTGATACCTCATTTCGGTGGTGCATTTTATGTCTATAAACACCTCCAAATTGTTGTCAACTGGTTCAACAAGCGGAAGAAATCCTCGTTTAACAGCGACAATGTTTATACCGAGGTGGAGAGATATGCACAGGAGAAAGGACCTGTGGCTCTAGAAAAAGTTGTTGCTTCCAAAGTAAGTATGTTGAATTTGGTGAAGAAAATATCTTGTTAACCCTACAGGTGTGTGCACTTGTATAAATGCTTTTAACTGTGGAAAAAACACACATCCTATGGAATCGTTGTCAGAGATGGACTAATAATACTTTTTTGCTTCAGTCTGAGAGAACGAAGTCAAATCCCGATGCCAAAGAGTTCAAAGCAGTTTCATCTCTGGAGAATAAAGAGGTACACTGTGTGAGATCTCTGATGCAACACGTACAATTTTCATAACACTTTTCTATACGCTCCAGTAATTTGTAGTTGATGTCTTTTGTTAGATGAAATCCAAGAACTGTGATCGTTGCGATAACCCTTGAATTTTGGCTTTCTCTGATTACTTCTTATGACTGAGAATTTCATTTTGATTTTGAATTATGCTTGATTTAAAGAGAAAATATTATGAAATTAAGTTTGCATTTGCAATATAATTTAGAGCCTGATTTATTAATTTGATGAGCTAACCTTTTAACTCCCTTGGTCTTCTTCACAGAGTCCAAATTAATCCAGAAAGCCTAATGTTGCATAGAAGGATATCAAATCAGTGCAGATGATTCTGAATATAAAAAAAGCCTAATGTTCCTCAGAAAATATATGCAAACATTTTCTCAAAATGATTTCGTTGACTTTTTAAAACTCGTTGTGTTTGTCAAAACAAATTGGGAGGTTTTGCTTTACTTTTTAACATTTTGTACATGATCATTTCCGTTTTTGCAACAGAATTTCGTATGCATTTGCAGGTTAGTCAGGCAGAGCCTAATCTCACTGGAACTGAAAACAGCAGATTTCCCAGTACGGATATTAAAGAAGAGGCCATTGGGATTGCATCAGAGATAGAAGTTCTGAACATTCCACCTTTAGAGAAGGTTCAGGAGTGGACAAGTGCAGTCAGTCAGGTAACGACCCAAAGTGATACATCTTTTAACTCCTACCCGGACGGTAAAGTACACGATGCTGTATATGAGAAACCGAAAATACAGAACAAGGCTGAAGCTAAGCTCTCTCAGATGGAAACCGGTACATTTGCGACCAGGGAGACTCGTTATGAAAAAGAACAAAGCAAAGTTAGGTTCGTTATGAAAAAAAAATTTATATGGAGATTGAAGACTCAAATTTTTAGAAGGAAGACGATTAATTACTTACACAGCACTATGCATGGCCTCAGCCCAATGGGCAAGAGTCCTGGAAGCATGGACCAACAAGGTAAGCCCAGTATGCATGGCCTCAGCCCACAACCCTAAACCCTTTGATTGCAGTAAAGTTCACATATTTAGATGTTATTACATCTTTGTGTTGGATGCTTTGTTTGGCCTTCTAGGTTCCTTTTATTCTCTACCCCTTATTTTATTTTATTTTATTTTGCCAATGTTGTACGGCTGTATTTGGACTTCTCAAAGAGCCGAGTGGGTGTTATTTTTTCTGCATCATGCCTCTGCTTTTCTGAAAAAATTTATGCCTTGTTTGGCAATGGTTTAGTTAGTACTAGCCTCAATCTGGTCATAATGCAATATACCAAAACCATTTGTCGTGGTCAAAATTCAAACAAAATCATTCTCTTAAAGTCACTTGGCACAGCTTTGTCCTTCGATCTCCACAATGAGTCGTCCCTGTTTTCTACAACCCTACAAGCTTTTCCTCTTTCATGTCAAGCGCTTGTGGTTGGCAGAGCCTTCATAACTCCCTGCGTACTTCACTTTGGCTGAGATGACACAACTAAATGCAGAATAAAACAAAGCTCAGATATGATCCTTTGCCATCCCCTCTGCATCAAGAGAAAAGCAGAATAAATTTAGATAGACATACCAAATTCTGGTTTTGCAGAATAAATTTTGATGATAATTTACATGTCCAACACATAACTGGACATGAGTTTTCTAAGGTTGAAGGGCGAAAATCCAAATTGTCTCCCCCTATCACAAAATCATTCCACTATGACATTCAAATAGGCACTCAAAAAATCCCTGGAAATTGGACTGAAATAAAGCGTACGCTGCATTTACTATCCTGCAATGCTGATACCAAGGCTAAAATATATATCATGTTTGTCCTTCTATTGGTGTTATAAGAGTGGTTACCAGAAAAACATGATGATTGAACCCCATGAAATAGATTATCAAACATTCATCAATTAAATAAATAGAAAAACTACAAAGTTCATTTGAACAAACCTTGCATCAATATGGTAATGTGGCTAATGAATCACATAAAGAAAGTTGTTTTCCACCATGCTATGTCTTTCACGTGTAGTTTGCTTTCATTCTTTTTGTCTGTCATTTCCTTTTTCTCTCTTTGTTTCCCTCATGCATCTCTTCACTTGGCTCCCCCCATATGTTCTTTTATTGAGTGCCTAGCCAAAAGCAGCCTCAGTTGAAGCTTAAACCAAGACAAATTTACTCACTTGTTCAAATAAAATGAAATACAAGAATTTCAACTAGGCCAGTATATAAAATGAAGATCATACTCGCGAAATACATAATTTAAGGACAATAAATCAACATTTTTAAATTATTATAAATGTGCGATCTATCAAGTTATTATGAAGAATCATGACAACGGACATGGTATGCGTCAACTTTTCATCCAATAAATGTATATCCCTTTCTAAAAGTCGGGATTTGTTGTATGCATTAGCTCTAGAATCACTACAATTATTCGAGTAGCATATACTATCAAAGAAACTATAACCGATTTAATAAATGGATAACTTAATCTTTGGGACAAACATATGGCATCGACACTATGCGAGAAAAATAACCTTGAGAGTTGAGTGACTGCAACAGGCACAATAGTCGTACATATCAAGTGACAAACACTTTAAAATAGACACTGCGGATAGCCTCTCCCTCCCTTAAAACTTTTTTGAAACAAAAAAACAGTGGACATTGAGAGACACCCATCCCTTTCGAGAAGTTCGTGTTGAGGCTACATTGATGATGTTGCTCGGTAGATTCTTCCATTTCTAAACTTTGTTTCTAAATAAGCCTATGTTCACTTATGTTTTTTCAGTAAACACTGTTTGTTTCGATATTTTTTTTGGACTCAATTTGCGAATATCTTTCCAGTTGGAGTGAAACTTTACCTTCTAAGGTCTGATCGCAAACTTGACTCCGCTGTACGGACAAGTCTTGCTTCTTCACAAGGTCTTCTCCAAGTCTTTCAGATTCCAATTTCAAAGCTGAGGACGACGACAAGGAAACCATACAAAGAAGCTCAAGCTCGAGATGGGCTTTGTGGGTCTCGTTCAATTTTCCCTTCAATGCTTTGATGTTCTTGCATGGTATGCTTCTCTCTAAGAGAATGAAAATCTTGGCACAATTGAGTTGAGGAAATGTTTCTCAGAATACAATATAATTTTTCATCATTTCATGTTGTTTGTGATTTTTTGTTTTTGTTTTGCAGGCCTCTACTTTCTCTGGTGTATCCTCTGTAAGCCTCTCTTCCACCACACACATTTTTATTTTGTTTTGAAGAAACTCTGTTTTCATCCTTGTAGAGTCCAATTTTGAATCTGGGTATTTTTCTTTTTCTTTACCAAATGAGAGTAATTTTTCAATATTGCAATTTATCATGATGATGATTTTGATAATAATTTTATTTTATTTATTGATGTTGATACAATGATGATGATTTCCTTGATGTTTATTTATTTTATTTTTTTTTGACAGATGTTGTTCCATTAGGGCGATTGAGTCCAATTCTGTTTCAGATTCTCAGAAGTTGAATACTTATTGGGTTGTCTTCTCATTGATTCTGCTATTTGAACATGCATTTATGAAGCTCCTAAAATGGTAATTCTGTTGTTTATTTTATTGCATTTGCTTTTTCTGGTTTCCAAATAAATGAATACAAAAGAATACAAAAGTTGAAACCTTGCATATTTTAGGCAACAGAAGCTTTAACAGAACTTTCAGCCAAGTTATTAGGAAAGCCTTTCTGGAATGAGTTTGAAACGGAGATGTCGAAATAAAATTGAACAAGGAATCTCAAAGATTTTCTAGCCTTCACTAGAATCACAAGGAGAGCAGAAATTTTCACAATGTGGCTGTTGTTCTCAGTAGCTACGGAATTTTCAGATGTGAATTTGTGTGGCATATCAATTAATTGTGGTTTATTGAGACAAAACCGAGTCTCATAAAGAATTTTGAAGTTACTTTTTAAGACGATTGTGATATGTTGTTTATGTTTTCAGATATGTAGTAGCTTTCTGGTAATACATTCACAATTATATGGAGTCACATTTGGTCGTAAAAACACATTTTAAAAACTAACAGATATGAAAACATTTCTAAATCATAGGTTATTTGAAATTGTTCTCGTTGCTTTCTTCGAATTCAATTTAAACATATGAAATGGATGTAATTTATTCGTTCAGCTTCAGACTTCTTGTTCCAGAAAATGCCACATACCACATCCATGTACATAGTTCCACGGAATTTTTACACAGAAACTTTTAGTTTTTTTTTCTTTTTAAATGAAAATGAAATCAATTGAGTTCCCGAGTTAGATATCACTTAGGTCCTTTAGGGCATAGTGCTGACATTTGTTTCAACTTTTCATTGTTTAATGATCATGAGGAGCTATCAAATTTGTTTCATCTATTTATGTTCCCTGTTTTTCCATTTCTTTACCTGTCAGGCTCCCACTGTGGCCATACTTTAGGCTAATCATTGTCTTCTGGTTGGTGATACCTCATTTCGGTGGTGCATTTTATGTCTATAAACACCTTATCTGTCCATGCCTCTCCACGGACCTCCAAATTGTTGTCAACTGGTTCAACAAGCGGAAGAAATCCTCGTTTAACAGCAACAATGTTTTTACCGAGGTGGAGAGATATGCACAGGAGAAAGGACCTGAGGCTCTAGAAAAAGTTGTTGCTTCCAAAGTATGTTGAATTTGGTGAAGAAAATATCTTGTTATGCCTACAGTTGTATAAATGCTTTTAATTGTGGAAAAACACACTCTATGGAATCGTTGTCAGAGATGGACTAATAATACTTTTTTGCTTCAGTCTGAGAGAACAAAGTCAAATCCCGATGCGAAAGAGTTCAAAGCAGTTTCATCTCTGGAGAATAAAGAGGTACACTGTGTGAGATCCCTGATGCAACACCTACAATTTTCATAACACTTTTCTACCCACTCCAGTAATTTGTAGTTGATGTCTTTTGTTAGATGAAATCCAAGAACTGTGATCGTTGCAATAACCCCTGAATTTTGGCTTTCTCTGATTACTTCTTATGACTGAGAATTTCATTTTGATTTTGAATTATGCTTGATTTAAACAGAAAATATTTTGAAATTAAGTTTGCATTTGCAATATAAGTTAGAGCCTGATTTATATTAATTTGATGAGCTAACCTTTAACTCCCTTGGTCTTCTTCAGAGTCCAAATTAATCCAGAAAGCCTAATGTTGCATAGAAGGATATCAAATCAGTGCAGATGATTCTGAATATAAAAAAAGCCTAACGTTCCTCAGAAAATATATGCAAACATTTTCTCAAAATGCTTTCGTTGACTTTTTAAAACTCGTTGTGTTTGTCAAAACAAATTGGGAGGTTTTACTTTACTTTTTTTCTTTCTTTTAAACATTTTGTACATGCTCATTTCCGTTTTTGCAACAGAATTTCATATGCATTTGCAGGTTAGTCAGGCAGAGCCTAATCTCACTGGAACTGAAAACAGCAGATTTCCCAGTATGGATATTAAAGAAAAGGCCGTTGGGATTGCATCAGAGAGAGGAATTTTGAACATTCCACCTTCAGAGAAGGTTCAGGAGTGGACAAGTGCAGTCAGTCAGGTAACGACCCAAAGTGATACATCTTTTAACTCCTACCCGGATGGTAAAATACACAAGGCTGTATATGAGAAACTGAAAATAGAGAACAAAGCTGAAGCTAAGCTCACTCAGATGGAAAACGGTACATTTGCGACCATGGAGACTCAAGAAAAAGTTGTTGAGGTTGTTACAAGTAGAGAAGTTATTGAGTCTGCCCTACAAGTCCAGAAAGAGTGGACTTGTGCTCTCTGTCAGCTAACAACTCAAAGTGAAGCAACTTTGAACTCCCACCTCCAAGGCAGAAAACACAAGGCAGCATGTGTGGCACTGAAAGCAAAGAGCCAGCCAATTGCGCCAAAAATTGCCCCGGCTTCTACTGCAAAGGAATCTAATCAACCTAACAAGGAGCGAGGAAAGAGGACAACGAGTGCATCAAAACAAAAAGTTATTGTAGATGAAAAGGTGCAAAGCCAGAAAAATAGCATTCCAACTTCAAGGACAAAGACTTCTGATAAATCTAAAAAGGAGCCAGCAGAAGGTGCATCCATCAATGGAGGCCAACAACGAAATCGGAATGAGGTTCCAAGCAAGAAGGATTATCGTATTTGGTGCAAAATTTGTAATGTGTACTGCCCTGGTGAGATTGACTTGGCATCTCATGTCAGTGGAAGGAAGCACGAGAAAAATGTGCTAGAACAACAACAGAAGGCAAATAGTGTTCCAAGAATGAATGGTCCCCCTCTGTGGTGCAAGATTTGTAATGTAGGCTGCTATAATGAGGGTAACATGGTATCTCATCGTAATGGAAGGAAGCACTTGGATCTTGAATCGACTGGAATGTAAGGGTTGTGGACAGATAATGTTGGTTCCTCGCATTACTCATAAAGAGCGTAGGAAAAAAAAAAAAAACATTCATGCTCGTGTATTTTCTAATTGTTTTCTCCTTTGTAGGAAACTTAGGAGATGGCCCTATATGCATTGGTAGCCGGATTTTACTACTGTCTTGTCAAGCCAGTGAAAATTCAAATAAACTAGTTGTGAACGTGTGGCCACAAGTTGTGAATTTTGAAGAGTAGGGTTGACAGTGACACAAACACGATCGCTTCTGACTTGTTAAAGTACTTCATCATAAACATTTTGTTGAAATTCTTTACACCATGATGTTGGATTGTGGAAAAAAGTATAGAATCAAATCCTTATTAGGCCTCTATTTCAACTTTCTATTGTAACATTTTTTTTATCATCAATGAAATTGTTATTTGACTGAAAACATTAATTCAGCTCAAGCTTCAACTTTTGATTGAGTGCTCAAACTTCACCTCACTAAAGGACTCCCAAAGAAATATAAATATAAATAAATAAAAATAAGCACCAAATGTGGAATACGTGCAAATATAGAAGGGAAAAAACCTTGGCATTGATTTATTGTAATGTTCAGACAGGTTTCTAGAAAGGGAAATGTTTGTAAACATGGCACCAGTGGCCAACCGGTCGACCCAATTCAAGATCCGGCTACAATTTTTTTTTATTTCTGATTGATTGTAATTTATTTCCTTTTCTATTTCTGATTTCCTACTGTAAATAGAGTTAGGGTTATAGTTTAACTTAGCTTCCAAGGTTATTTAGCCTCCAAGGTGTTGATGTATTATATGTGTCTCTTACAAGGAGAATAATACACTGAAAATTGCGACAATTATTCTTCCATTCATATTTACAAATGCATGGCTTAATTTTTAAAACAATCATATGACTATTGGCCGACATCGACACCCTGGGAGAAAAAAGACCTTGAGGGTCGAGAGCCTGCACTAAGCACAATAGTTGTACGTGTCAAGTGACAAACGCTTCAAAATTGACAATGGGAAACACACTTATCCCTTTTCACAAGTTGGCATTGGGAGTTTAACTACACTAATGTTGCTTGGTAGATTCTTCCATTACGAAGTTATTGTTTTTAAGCTTATGTGGGAGTACAAACAATAGTTTAACAAAACTACAGGGAAGGGGGTTTCTCACACACAAAGGTGGATCTACACTCCAACCCAGTGCAGATGGAGGATGAGTATCTCGCAAATTCCCTCATTGTCTACATTGAGAAGAGCTTTATGTGAATATTAATTCAGATTCAATAATCAAAGATTTTGATACATTCAAAGAGAGAAGGGTTCCATTTCACTAGGTAAGCTCTTTAATTTTTTTTTGCAATTGACCATATTTTTTTGAAGTTGGACCATGTGTTTGATTTGGTATTTATTTATATTTTATACTTCTTCGTATTATATTTGCTTGTAATGTGGCCTTATTTGATTTATAAAATTTTATTTACATTTTGTTTCAAGAGGAAAAAGATGTATAATAAATTTCTTGTAAAAATAAAAATAAAAATAAAAATTAGCCTACCCTTATAAAAATTCATGAGTCAGCCATTGCTCACATACACAATACCAAGATGCCAGAGGGTTTCGAACTTGAGACCGTTGTTCTACAAGTCAATATCATTTTCCACTGTATTAGAGCCCTGTCAGCATTTTTAAGCTTATGTTCACTTATGCTTTTATTAGTAAACACAACACATCTCATGTTTTTTTAATAGCTAAAATTACTAAAATACACATGCCACGTCAGCACAGTTAACGGTGGGTGGGCATCGAGGTCGGAAAATCGAAACATTGAGCCAAACCGACTTTTAAAGAGGGGGAAAAAACTGATTGACTAAAAAAGTCAACAAACCGACACCAAACTGGACCAGACTGATTCAAACTGGTTCTAGTTCTAATTTCACACCTTACCAAATCGGATTGGACTAGACCGGTTGTGTATATTTTTAATTTTTTTTACAAAATTATTTAAATCCAATGTTACATTTTTTAATCTCATAACTAATATTTCCCCAAGCCCACTTCAAAAAATCTCCCTTTTCTACGCTCAATATCTCTCTTTGTATGAAATTTGAATCATTTGTAAATTTTCAAGCCCAAATATTAAAATTTTAATTGAAATTTTCATGAAAATAATAATAATTCGGTCCAAAACTAAAAAAAAATAAATGGAAATCATACTAGAACCAGTTCAAACCAAACCAGTCAGTTTCAATTTTTTTTTTTTATACTAAAACCAACCCGATTAAATAGTTCTGTATCTGATTTCGATTTGATGTGAAAATCAGACTGAACCAGACCGCATCCACCCCTAGTTTTGTTGATGGAAATTCACAAAAGTAATAAGCGAGATAATTTCAGCATTTTTAGAGATTTTGAGGATTAAATGAGAAAATTTCAGTTTCAAGGAGTAATGTGAGAGCGAGCGCCCCGTTTCAAGGATAAAACAGTAATTAAATATATATTTTTTACTCATTTTGCAAACACGGCTGCTGGCGTTTCTTCTTCTTCTTTTTTTTTTCTTTTTTTTCTTTTTTTTCTTTTTTTTTTGTCCCCCTTTTTCTTTTGGTCGGACGACTGAGTTTCCAGTGGTAGTGAAAACTTTGCCTTTATCATATATATCCAATTCAAACTTTTAATGACTTTTATAAAGTTTAAAAGTCTGGAGGTATTCAATTTAGACTTTTAAAGAGTATATAAAAGTCTAGTGGTATTCAATTGTGACTTTTAAAAAGTATTTAAAAGTTCAGTGGTATTCAGTTATGACTTTTAAAAAGTATTTAAAAGTTCGATGGCATCCAAAAAGTTAATGACTTTTAAAAAGCTTATTAAATGAATGACTTTTCCATACTTTTAAGGCTAATTGTTAAGAGTAAAAGTCTTGCTAATTTACTAGTGACTTTTATTAACTCTATGAGAGTATTTAAGAATTTGTCATCTCTATGAAAGTCGCTCATTTTAAAAAAAGTCTTTATAAGTGTGAATTAGATACACCCCCTAAACTCTGAACAGAAGTTCAGACCCCAAAAAAAAAAAAAAAACTCTGAACAAAAGTTCCACGCTGTACGGACAAGTCTTGCTTCTTCACAAGGTTTTCTTCTCCAGGCCTTTCAAATTCCGATTTCAAAGCTGAGGACGACGACGACAAGGAAACCGTACAAAGAAGCTGAAGTTCAAGATGGGCTTTGTGGGTCTAGTTGCATTTTTACTTCGATGCTTTGATGTTCTTGCGTGGTATGCTTTTTTCTAAGAGAATTAAAATCTTGGAACAGTTGAGTTGAGTAAATGTTCTTGTTCATCATTTCGTGTTGTTTGTGATTCTTTTTCTGCAGGCCTCTACTTGCTCTGGTGTATCCCTTGTAAGCTTCTCTGCCCCACACGCATTTTTATTTTATTTTGAAGAAACTCCGTTTTCATCCTACTAGTGTTTTTTTCTTGGGACTAATCCTACTAGTGTTCACTTTAGCATCTATGGAAATGGGTTTTTTTTTCTTTTTCTTCTGTTTCTTTTTGTCTACAAAAATGGGAGTAATTTTTCGATATTGCATTTTATGATGATGATGCTTTTGATAATGATTTTATTTTTTACTAATGTTGATACTGTGTTGATTGTTTTTTGATAGATGTTGTTCCATTAGGGCGATTGAGGCCAATTCTGTTTCAGATTCTGTGAAGTTGAATACTTATTGGGTTGTCTTCTCATTGATTCTGCTATTAGAACGTGCATCTATGAAGCTCCTAAAATGGTAATTCTGTTGTTTAGTTTATTGCATTTGCATTTTCTGGTTTCCAAATAAATGAATACAAAAGTTGAAACCTTGCATATTTTAGGCAACAGAAGCTTTTAACTGAAGTTTCAGCCAAGTTACTATGAAAGCCCTTCTGGAATGTGAGTTTCCCCCAAATTTTGCCCAATTAATTTGGTTGTCCATAATATTTGTTTCTTAGTACATAGAAGGGAAACGAATGGAGAAGCCGTAATAAAATTGAAAAAGGAATTTCAAAGATTTCCTAGCCTTCACTATATTCAAAAGGAGAGCAGAAATTTTCACAATCTGGCTGTTCTCAAAAGCCGGAATCTTGTGGCTAGTATGGAATTTTCAGAAGTGAATTTGTGTGGCATATCCATTCATTGTGGTATTATTGAGACAAAACAGTCTCATAAATAATTTTGAAGTTACCTTTTAAGATGGTTGTGATCTATTAATTTATGTGGTAGCTTTCTGGTAATATGTTCACAATTATAAGGTCACATTTGGTGGTAAAACACACTTTTTATATACAATAGTTTAACGGGCATATGAAAGCATGCCTAAAGAATAGGATTATTTAAAATTCTTCTCATTGCTTTTTTCTAAATCAATTCAAACTTATGAAATGGTTGTAATTTATTCGTTCAGCTTCAGAATTTTTGTTCCGGCAAATGCCACATATCAATTGTAGAGAGTTAGATATCAGTTAGTTCCTTTTGGGCATAGTGCTGACATTTGTTACAACTTTTCATTGTTCAATGATCATGAGGAGCTATAAAATTTGTTTCGATGTTTCTTAATTTTCCATTGCTGTACCTGTCAGGCTCCCTCTGTGGCCATATATTAGGCTCATGATCGTCTTCTGTTTGGTGATACCTCATTTCAATGGAGCTTTTTATGTCTATAAACACCTAATCTGTCCATGCCTGTCCATGGACCTCCAAATTGTTATCAACTGGTTCAACAAGCGGAAGAAATCCTCGTTTAACAGAGACAATTTTCTTGCCGAGGTGGAGAGATATGTAAAGGAGAATGGAACTGAAGCTCTGGAAAAAATTGTTGCTTCCAAAGTAAGTAGGTCGAACTTGGTGAAAAAAATATGTTGTTATGTATCATAGGAATAAATTAGTTTTTAGAACATGCCTAGAGGTGTGTGCACTAGTATAAATGCTTTGACATGTGGAAAAACATATTCTAGAGAATCGTTGTCAGAGATGGACTAATAATACTTTTTTCCTTCAGTCTGAGAGAACGAAGTCAAATCCCGATGAGAAAGAGTTGAAAGCAGTTTCATCTCTGGAGAATAAAGAGGTACACTGTGTGAGATCCCTGATGCAACTCATACAATTTTCATTACACGTTTCTATACACCCCAGTGGTTTGTAGTTGATGGCTTCTCATAGATGAAATTCTATAACTGTGATCGTTGCAATAACCCCTGAATTCTGGGTTTCTCTGTTTACTTCTTCTGACTAGGTTTCTCTGTCTACTTCTTCTGACGCAGAATTTCATTTTGATTTTGAACGATGCTTGATTTAAAGAGAGAATATTGTGAAATTAAGTATGCATTTGCGATATAATTAAGAGCCTAATTTATTAATTTGATGTGCTAACCTTCCCTCAGTCTTCTTCATACAGTCCAAATCCAGAAAGCCTAATGTTGCACAGAAGGATATCAAAGCATTGCAGACGATTGTGAATAAAAAAATAGCCTAATGTTCCACAAAAAATTTATGCAAACATTTTCTCTCTTTGACTTTCTTTGTCTTTTTAAAAACTCTTTGTGCTAGTTGTCGGTTCATTTCCATTATCGCAACAGAATTTTGTATGCTTTATCTGAGAATACTGGATGCAGTAAAACAATTTTCTTTTTGGACCTCATCTTCATTGCATTTGCAGGTTAGTCAGGCAGAGCCTAATCTCACTGGGACTGAAAACAGCAGATTTCCCAGTATGGATATTGAAGAAAAAGCCATTGGGGTTGCATCAGAGAGAGGAGTTCTGAACACTCCACCTTCAAAGAACGCTGAGGAGTGGACAAGTGCATTCAGTCAGGTAACAACCCAAAGTGATACAACTTTTAACTCCCACCCGGATGGTAAAATACACAAGGCTGTATATGAGAAACTGAAAATAGAGAACCAGGCTGAAGCTAAGCTCACTCAGACAGAAAACGGTAAATTTGCGGTCATGGAGACTAAAGAAAAATCTGTTGAGGTTGCAACAGGTAGAGAAGTTCTTGAGTCTTCCCAAAATGTCCAGAAAGAGTGGACTTGTGCTCTCTGTCAGCTAACAACTCAAAGTGAAGCAACTTTAAACTCCCACCTCCAAGGCAGAAAACACAAGGTGGCATGTGAGGCACTGAAAGCAAAGAGCTGGCCATTTGTGCCGAAAATTCCCCCGGAGTCAAAGGAATCTCATCAACCTAAAGAGGAGCCAGGAAAGCGGCCAACGATCAGTGCATCAAAACAAAAAGTTATTATAGATGAAAAGGCGCAAAGTCAGAAAAATAGCATTCCAGCTTCAGGGACAAAGACTTCTTATAAATCTAAAGAGGAGCCAGCAGAAGTTGCATCCATCAATGGAAGCCAACAAGGAAACCCGACTGAAGTTCCAAGCATGAAGGATTTAACTCTATCGTGCAATGTTTGTAATGTGCACTGCCCCAGTGAGATTGTCATGGCATCGCATCTGAATGGCAGAAAACACCAGAAAAAGATGCAACAACGACAACAGAACCCAAATTAAGTTCAAAGGAAGAATGATTTTTTGTGGAACATAAATCGGCACCATTGAGAATTGAGTCGCAGTGACACACCATAACCCACTGAACTCGTTTTACATGAATTCAAAGCAATGAACTATTGCCAATTGGGTCAGGCCAATGGAATTGACTTGCAGACCAATGGTCTCAGGTTCCTATGGCATCGTGGTAGTGTGTATTAGAAATCCCCTTTACCCTCGTATTTCCGACTATAGCTTGTATTCGTGAAGGAAAAAAAACCTATAAAATATTTTAAAAATCAAAGGACCTCTTTTATGCCATATTCCAGATTGTTATCCATCATGTTTCACTTATAATTTTTAATTGGTTTCTTCTGGATGCTAGTTGACAATGACATTAGCAATTTCAAGTTGTCTCAATACTCGCCCCGTAGAGAGCTAGTCTTGTTCTCATTTTTAATATTTTTCTTTTGCTTTTTCGAAACAACTCGACTTTTAGATTCATCTGCCGACAGCATCACTGTGAATCATACAGGTCTACTCAAGTAAAAAAACTTACATGTAACGTTTTGCTATCCTAGCTTATTACGCAATGACACATGAAAAAATTATTTTATTTGTCATTACATTATTAGTCAGGAATAACACAGGGTAGAGATGATACTAAGGGCCCGTCTGATAACGTTTTCGGAGAATGTTTTCTGAGAATGAAAACAAGAAAACAAATTTGTATTTTCAGGAAATGAAAATGCGTCTGGTAGATTAATTAGAAAACATATTTAGAAAACAAAAACAATGAAAACGTGTCTGGTAGTACAATTATTTTTCAAGTGTATTTTTGCTAATTTATGTTCCAAAAAATATTTTTTTTACTGTATAATTTGACAAATAAAAAATTATATTGTTTTTTTTTAAGTTAAACTTTTTTTTATCTTTTTTTTTTCTTCCTCTTCTCTCCTTTCTCTTTTCTTCTCCCTTCCCAGGCCGTCCTCTTTTCTTCTTTTTTCCTTTTCTTTCTTCCTCTTCTCTCCTTTATCTTTTCTTCTCCCTTCCCAGGCCGTTCCTTTCTTCCTCTTTTTTTCTTTTTTCCTTTTCTTTCTTCCTCTTCTCTCCTCTCTCTCTCTCTCTCTCTCTCTCTCTCTCTCTCTCTCTGGACTGGGTCTGTGAGGTTTGGTGGCAGTGGCAGAATCAGTGGCGGTTGTGATGATGATGGTCTGACAGTCGTGGCCGTGGTGAGTTTGATTTTCGTTTCGTTTCTGTTTTGCTGGGTAGAGCGATGGGGTTGTGCATTTCGGTTTATGTTTTAGGCGTATGTTTTCTGTGAGAATGAAAACACATTTTTTCTGTTTTTCCGAAGTACACGTGATGTTGTTTTCATTTTATGAAAACATTCTCAGTGTTTTCTGTTTTAGTCCACCGAACAGATTCTTGGTTTGTTTTTGTTTTTGATTTTTGAAAATGAAAACGGGCGCTGAAAACTTAAACGAACGGGCCCTAATTTCCCTGGGGAAATGTTTGGTTTGGATGAATATTAATTCAATTCTTCACCAACTTTTAAAAATTATTAAGTTAACATTTTGGTGAAACTCCTTACAGTAATTCGTTAAGCCAAATTTCGTCTTTTGACTGCGTTCCGGAATGAGCATGACCAGTTGGATAATTCATTCCCTCATCTGGCCATAATTTAACTAAGTGTGCTAGGTCACCTCTTTTTAATGAGTACAATTTCTTGCTTAAACATATGTTTTGCCCTATCAAAACCCCCACCTCACAAAAGGAACTACCACAGTAAAAATAAAAATGAGAGCCTCGAAACAAAGAAACCAAATGCGGAAGAAAGCACAAAATATAACAGGAAGACGACCTTGACATTGATTTATTGTATTGTTCAGATGAGTTCCAGAAAGGGACATGTATGTTTGTAATCATGGTAACTATGCCTTCTGAGAAGTTGGCATTGCGAGATTAACTACACCGCTGCCGGGTAAATTCTTCCATTGCTGAGTTACTGTTTTGATCTGGGTGAAAAAGTCAACACCAGCCTTACCTGTAATGCATACAAAAACTCTTCATAATTTACCAGAACGAAATAATTCATTATATACAACCATTGTTTGAACAATAACTACTCAAAAACAGATTGCTAACATCATAAAAAGAGTTGAGTAACAGGTGGAAGAGATATTTTACCATAGAAATTCAGATCGCCTGCAAAAGATGCCTTGTTGCCAGTAAAAGAGAAAAATGGCAAGGGAACTGGAATAGGAACGTTGATTCCAACCTATTTCATACTCAAAACAAGTTAGAGAGTGATATAAAGCGTATCTTTATTTGCCATATTATCTTGCAAATTCAGCAGCAGCAGATGCTCAAAAGACTTTGTTTACCTGTCCAGCCTCTATCTCAGTCTGAAATTTCCTTGCAGCTACCCCAGATGTAGTAAAAATAGAAGCTCCATTGCCATATCTGTTTTTTTTATAAAAAAAAATGCTCATGTAAACCGCATAAAATATCTCTTCTAAACTAACGCTATTTAAGGCAATAAGAGAAAGCAATAATTAGTACTTGTTTCTGTTAACAAAGCTTATTGCCTCTTCTAAGCTGTCAGCCTGACATTAAGAAGAACAAAGGATGTGTTAACAATCTCCATACCACGCAAGGAGAAAGATGACAGGCAAAGAAACAGGAATTCAGTCAATCAACATACCTCCAAGCAAAGAAGAACTGGACCAAAAATTTCTTCCTGCACAAAAGGTAGAAAATAATCAAGTTCCTTCCAACATAAAGATTCAATTGATTTTCATCCTTAGAAATTTCAGTCCATATCAACATAAACAAACAAATACAAGGCGCTGAATCTCTTGGTATCCTACCAAATATGTGCCTAAGACCTTGGGTCTGTTTAATGGAGAAGGCAACCCCTACTGGGTAGCCAACAACCACCATCTGTTTTGAAAATACAATGGAAAAATTGAAAGGAAAAGAGACTAAAAATCTGAAGGAAAAAAAAAAGATACCTTGTGGCACTCCATGTCAGCTGTAACATTTGATAAGATTGTGGGGCCAATGAAATTTCCATGCTCATATCCTGGAACCTGTTTGTTACCGATGATGAATAAGTAGATAAGTAACCAGTTTCTCTTCAGAAAAACTGAGTCAGGCAAGCACATTAACTATCTAATATAACATAGAGAGGGGAGAGACTTATCATTAAAATGTCAAAACTATTTTGTGCTAGCAAGTTAGCAATAAGTGGGAAGCATCGAAATATAAAATGCTACCGCTATATTTCTGCCATCAAGCAATAGCCTTGCACCACTTTCAACACCAGACTGGATTAATTTGCATATCCGTTCCTTTGCCTGTGAACGAATCCAGTAAAAATTCATTAACAGAAACTAAAGAGTGAAGCCAATGTCAACCACATGAGCATGCACCTTAACAACTAATATGTTATTTGGTTAGTCATTCATGTAAATGTGGACAATTTATAGAAAGAAGACTTAAACAATGTCACTCTTTGGTAACCTAATTGGTAGTCTGGGAACGGGAGCAAAAAGGAAAAAATACTTTTAAAGTGCTTACTTGTTTGCTAATTACGGGACCAAGGTCAGCATCAGGTTCTGTTCCAGCACTTACTTTCAGAGCTTTGGCAGCTTCCACAAGTTTGTTCTCCCTGGAAGAGTTTAATAATTAAAATCTAATCTCAGTCTTCAAACTCAATTTTCTTTTTTCTTTTTCTTTTTTAAAATTTTTAAAAACGCCTAGATTACATGGAAATAACAAGATATCAGGGACACCAATGATTGAGAACAAAACAAAACAAAACAAAAAACTGCAACGACAGAATGTAGGTCACTTCTTAAAACGTTCCATAGAACTGATAGTTATTTTACTAAGCATTAATAGATACTAATAAGGTGGGTACAGAATTGAATTCATTTACCCTAAAATAGATAACAAAGAATTGGAACTTAATCATGTTCATTTCCTAGTCTGCTTTTACATTGTGTTTTTTAATAAATTTAAAAGAAGCTTTCATACAAGAGTTTGTAGATATAGTAAAAAGTTCCTTTGCTTGACAAGTGAAATGAGCCATTTTCAGGAGGATAAGACTTGTCACAACAGGGATGGTTAACATGTATAATTCAGATACTTTGTCTAAAGCCATTTTCCTAAGTGAGGAAAGTGCAATGTTTTTATTTTGAATCTACATGAAGGTTAGATAAGGTTCTACTAAAACCTTATCTTGGATATGTTTTTTTAGAGGAATCTTCTAGGAAACAGAATAAGGGTGAATATTGGTTTTTGGTCTTCTCAAGCACCACTTAACTCTTTTTAGAGAAGCCTTTTAGAACATAGAACGTTGCCAGAGCAGCAAGTGGAGATGGATTTGTAAAGGTAAGGACATCGAAGGTCAATAAAAACCTTACTTTGGTAACACTCTGAAGGTAAGTTTAAAACTTTGAACCTTCAAAGAAAAGGATACGCGAATGTGGAAGGCATAAACCTTAATGAAACTAAACATATGGAAAAAGAAAAGAGAAAAAAAAAAAACATAATACCATGACTTTGAACCTCCAACAAAGACAACTGTGCTGAGTGCCATGCACCGTTGTCCTGCAGCACCAAAGCCAGCAGCAACTAAAGCATTCAAAGTAGCATCAGCACTTGCATCAGGCATGACAATTGCATGGTTTTTTGCCCCCATATTAGACTGGAAAAGTAGTTAACCAGGTAACCAATTCATTTCACTTTCAACTGGCACAAGGGTATGAAAGCCACCATTTGGCTCGTAAGAGAAACAGTTAAATACAAAGCGGACTTACCTGAACACGTTTCCCTTTTGCTGATGCTCTTGAATATATGTGCATGCCAGCCTTTGTGATGTAAACATAAAAACATTGTGTAAGAGTATAGCTAGACCAACTGATACATCACAATAAAATTGCAAAAAGAAGAAGAATTTTTCCTTTCAAAAAATTAAATATGATAAGAGCATGCTCCTTTGTACCAGAAACATACTGGTTGACATGCAAACTTATAGGTCTGAACAAAAGTTCACAACCAAGGTAAGAAAAGAATTCTTAAACCCGACAGATAAATTTATTCTGTAAGTCAACAAACAATTGTTGGAAAAATAATTTCAAAAGAGAAAACTTAAATTGTTATCATACTTCTAACTCTAAGCAACTTTGCATCCTAAAGTAAACATATTGGGGTCTACTTTGAAACTAAAATCACTTCCACAAACAAACTATGAGTTCAGAGGAAATTCTCAGTGACGTGATATGGCTATCAACTGAATTGAAGACTTT